CTCAGGAGAGGTTGAGATCTAAAGGGACCTAGGAAATAATAAATCACCAAGACAACTTCAGAATGAGCTCACTGGAAGGCAAGCTTATTGCTAAGAAGGTAAGTCAGGTGGAGTCTGGGTACCAATGTAACAACCAATCTGGCCATAGACACCAGATTCCCATTAGAAAGATTCCTCTTTGGTGAGCTGCAGTATTAAATGAAGTCAAATTGTGTTCTGCATTTTATGTCTTCACAGTTTTCCTAAGAATACACATTTTACCTAAATGACTACTTTTTAACCCCCTTCTCTGTCTCTCCCTGCTTCCTTATTCCTTCTGTGCTATTTTCCCACTCCTTGAATGACCTTAAGTTAACTAGATGATCTCTTAGAATTTATCTTCTCTTTTGCCATAATATTCACAAAAGAGAATTAGCATTCTGTGGCAAATGGAGGAGAGATTGTGGTCAGGCAGGATGTCTGAAATCATTTTATAAACATCATAACTTTCATTTAAATGTTAGTAACGATATTTACAAACAAAACACTTTAATCTTTGGCCTTTATCCTATAGCAGTGGGGATATAAAATACTTTATCTTTCTGTTTTTCTCTATTTTTAAAGAAAATCTACCTGTCTTGACCTCTGAGTGCTACAAATAGAGACATACACCATTATGTCTGGATTTTTTTTTTTTTAGTTCTCAAACAAAGAATGATTCAAATTATAAGTACTGAACTCTGAAGTGAAATAACCAATTGAATTATCATTTACCCCCATGGTGTCTGTCAGAATGTTTTGGCTCTAATGAAGGCTACAGAGAACCAAGTCTCACCCTGGGGCTTTCCAACATGTTTTAATGGCAGTCTACATGTTTGACTTATGTGTAGAGCTTGTTAGGGCTGGAGAAGGGACTGAGGCTGAACACCTCTGTTACACAGTGCATATAACTTATAGCTCAGTTTCTAATCTCTGGTGAGGAAAAAAGGCTGAAAGAACTCTGAAAGATGTTAGTGTAAAGAGCCCTGGAAAATGCTCACAGAGCCCCAGGAGGATCTGTAACACTAAGCAGAAAATAGAGCAAAAGTCTTTGCCTGAGTTGTTACTTCGTTTTCTTTTAAATTAGTAAGTAGCTTTTCTGTGTAAAACATTACTGCTGTGTCAGATTCCAAAGTTCGTAAAATTCCAAGAATCAATGTCATTGAGCAATAAGTTTAAAGGGAAATTTAAGTTCCCCAACAAGTATATTTCAGAAAATGAATGAGCCAAACAGAATCTGTAGAGACCAGAAGAGGACAAAGTAAAGGAAACTAATCAATATTGGAAAATAAGATATATTTTTTATGACTTTGTTGTGCATGAACTAATTATAAATTTTTTTCCTCAGCTAACACAGTTTAGTAAACACTTAAATTTTCTGTTAATAATGTCTGCCAGATATGTAATTTTCATGTGTTATATATATGGACATACATATAAGAGAGAGGAAAACAGCGAGAAAGAGAATTCCTAGAGTTAAAATTGTCTTGCTATAAAATGTTTAAAATAATATGACTTTTCAATTTTATGAATAATTGATTAAAGCCAAAATTAACCTGTGTTTGAAATTTGTCTTATTAATGAAATATATATTGTTTTTGATATCTTGATAAAAAGAATTAACCAAATGTTTAGTTTTTTGAAACCAAAATGTTTATAGACCTTAGGGACTGGCAGACGGCTCATTGGTCAAAAGTGTTTGTCACCAAGATTGATGGTCTGAGTTCAATCCCTGGAACCCTCAAGATAGAAGAAGAGAGCAGATTTTTACCATTTGTTCTGTTATCTCTGAGATAATGTTTTTCATGGGACATGTACCTGAACACACACACATGAGCACAAACAGAAATAGATAGATAGGTAGGTAGATAGATAGATAGATAGATAGATAGATAGATAGATAGATAGATAGATAGATAAAGATAGATGAATGGGTGAATGGATACATGGGTGATAGATAAATAATGTATAAAATGTTTATGTATTTTGGAGCAAAATGTAAGTTTGCAGATGGGCATGGTGGCACATACATGCATCCCCAGCCCACAGGAAGTTGAGGCATGTGATCCATGAATTTGTTGCTAACTTGAGCTGAAAAACAAGTGTGAGGCCAAAGAAACAATAAAAATAGATAGTAGATAAATCAAGGGTGAATGACAAATCTGAGTTTTGTGTGTGAAAGCAAAGGAAGATAGGTTTCACAAACAGATGGCAAATGAGAACCACAGTATTAATACATTCCTTTGTGAATCGTTTTCAGAAAGAAAAATGAGGACAGAGAATTAATTTGCTTTCTTAAAATTGTTCATATATATATATATATATATATATATATATGTATATATGTATATGAAACACTTATCACATCTTTGACTTGAACTCCACTTGCCTGGCAGAGACATAAATAATTCTAACATACCATAGAAAACCACAAAAAGATAGAAGTAAAGTAACTGAAAATATGGCTTAGACCTGCTTCCCAATCCAGCTAGTGAAAGTGCTGTAAAATCTATGGATCACAAACATGAGTCACTGTGCAAAACATTCTGGGAATTTTAGAGATGATGATCTGTAGATACCACCCTCAAGATGAGGAATTACTGTTAGACTGCACTGGGCTGTAAGAAAGAAAATAGTAACTACTGTGCAGGAACACCTCTGGGAAAAACTTGCTGTAAGAAAGTTGCAGTGTAGGATGAAATGTGACTCAGTTTTGCATAAAATCTGTAGTAAAATACATCAATGGCTTATGTGGACTTCCTCTAACAACTGACAGAGATGTGGAAATGCTGGCAGAAACAGTAACAAACCAGTAATTTGCTTCAGAATGAACTAAGAAATGAATTGGAAGCCACAAAAGAACTATTTTTTTTAAGAATTGATTTTGATAATCTAGAGCTGTAAATTAGACACTACACAAAAACGTGGTTTATGTGTTAGTTTTATTCTGTTTATTCAAAATCAAAGCTTAAACAGAAAGCCACTATAGTCTGTGTAGCACAGTGGTGACTAGATATAATGACTCCAGCCACACCAGTGCTGTACTGTTCCCTCTATGTGACCACTAATATTACCTGCTTTCTTTTTCTTTTATTTTTGAATTGTAAATGGACATCCTTCAGCCCAGAAAAAGCAAGAAACTCAGATTAATTCTCCTACTTAAATAAATTCATGTAAAGTAGAATATAAGGTAGAAGTAATATTTAACTACATCTGAAAAAAAATAATGATCTAATCAATTAAAATTGACACATCGTGGTGTTTAGAATAGGAATGGCCCTCGTTGGTTCAGATATTTGAATGCTTGGTCCACGGTTGGTGGAACTGTTTGGAAAGGATTAGCAAGTGTGGCCTTTGTGGAGGAGGTGTGTCACTAGGAGTGGGCTTTTAGTTTTCAATAACTGAAGCCATTCCTACTTAACTCTCTCTGCCGCATGTTTGTGGAAAAGATGTAAACTCTCAGCCACTGCTCCAGCTCTGTGCCTGCCGGACTGCTGACATACTTCCTGCTGTGATGGTCATGAACTCTAACCCTTTTCAACTATGAACCCCAAGTGAAATGCTTCCTTTTATGTTACCTTGGTCCTGGTTCTTTATACAGTCTAGATCAGAAATGAAGACGACATGAATTTGAGTTACCTCTCAGGGTTTCGTTCTTGTTATTATTCTCAAGTTACATAAAAAAAAAATGCTCACTTAAACTGTACATATTGTCATGGACTGTGTACAGTGGAATATTTACTTGAAACATGTTAGATGTTCAACCAAGTCAAATGTTATAGTTATTTTTAACTGTTTCAATACATTGACACATACTTATAGAGAATGACACACACACATGCATGCATATTTAATTTAGAATAGCTTATTTTATGAACTATCTGAAATATATTTACTTTCCGGGTGATGTGCTTGAAAATATGCTGAATTTTAAATTTGAATAAAATTGTATGCTTTACATTTCTATGTGAAAATAATGTCATCATAACTCTTTCCAGTATGTAGAGCAGTTATGACTCACTGACAACTACCAGCCACTGTAATAAAACTTTTCTGGTAGGTTGTCCATGCAGCAAAGGTTTACCCCATAGTGGTGCACATATGTGCATCACTATTTTGAATCCAAAAGTTATGAAAACAGAAGATATGAATTTGGGAGAGAGATGTGTTGGGAGGAGAGGGCAAATTTGAGAGAGTAGATGGTAGATGTGTGATTGACATATACTCTATATATGTAGGAGATTTTTGAAGAACACATTTTTAAAATGTCCAAGGTTTGCAGATTTCTGGTGAAATTTCTTTTAGTTTCTACAGGATAAATTATTTAATCTCTAAATGGAGGAGGGCATAGGACAATGAATGCCAATGCAAGATATCAAATTATATTGATATGTAAAATTATCTTCATATATCTTCTATACGTCTTATAAGAAAAGTACAGAATTAAAATTAGAGAGTATAAACACAATTCTACTTGCAAATTATGTAATTTTGCTGCCTTCCTTTTGCATGTTTCAAAAACAAATTGACAGTAAAATCGTGAACTTTCATGGTCAGTTTCTCCACATATTTTATAACATATTGTGTTTATTTACAAATCTTTTTTATTTATTTATTTTTTATTTTTTTGAGACAGGGTTTCTGTGTGTACCTTTGGAGTCTGTTCTGGATGTCACTCTGTAGCCAAGGCTGGCTTTAAACTCACAGAGATCTGCCTGCCTCTGCCTTCTGAGCGCTGGGATTAAAGGCGTGGACCACCACCACCCGGCTCATTTCCATTATTTTTTAAAGTTAAAAAGCAAAATAAGTCTTTAGAAGGTTGTTCTGTGTGAAATAACTCCTGTCCCTGAAACAAGAATGAAGAACTGCCATTAAAGTATGTGATTGCCACCAGGGTGACGTTTTCTAAGGCAGGAACACACCTTTTTCCCTCAGGACTGACTCGGACACTGAGAAATGTCATTTTTATTCTTCACATGCAGTAAAATACACATCATCTTCCAGAATTGATGGCTGAAGTGAACATCTCCTATGTCACTGAGTTCATCCTCAAGGGGATCACAGACCGGCCAGAACTCCAGGCCCCATGTTTTGTGATGTTTCTGACAATCTATCTGGTCACAGTCCTAGGCAACGTTGGGTTGATTATTATTATCAGGGTTGATTCTCGACTCCACACACCTATGTACTTCTTCCTCAGTCACCTGGCCTTTGTTGACCTCTGTTACTCGTCGGCCATCACACCAAAGATGATGGTGAACTTTGTGGTGGAGCACAACACTATCCCTTTCCATGCTTGTGCTACACAGCTGGGCTGCTTTCTTACCTTCATGATCACAGAGTGTTTCCTTCTAGCCTCTATGGCTTATGATCGCTACGTGGCCATCTGCAGCCCCCTGCATTATTCAACAGTGATGTCGAAGAGAGTGTGCATTCAGTTAGTGGCAGTTCCTTATGTGTACAGCTTTCTAGTTGCCCTTTTCCATACAATCATCACCTTTCGCTTAACATACTGTGGGCCTAATGTAATCAATCACTTCTACTGTGACGATCTTCCCCTCTTAGCCCTGTCCTGCTCAGACACACACATGAAGGAAATTCTCATCTTTGCTTTCGCTGGCTTTGATATGATCTGCTCCTCTTCCATAGTCCTTACCTCCTATCTCTTTATCATTGCTGCCATCCTGAGAATCCGCTCTACCCAGGGGCGACGCAAGGCCATCTCCACCTGCGGCTCCCACATGGTGGCTGTTACTATTTTCTATGGCACGCTCATCTTCATGTATCTACAGCCCAAATCAAACCACTCTCTGGACACAGACAAAATGGCTTCAGTGTTTTACACAGTGGTGATCCCCATGTTGAATCCCCTTATCTACAGTCTAAGGAACAAAGAGGTAAAAGAAGCCTCTAAGAAAGCTTTAGATAAAGGGTATGAAACCTTAAAAATATTAAAGTTAAGAAAATAAGGACAGCATGTTTTATTATGTATGTGCAGGAAAATAAATCAAACTTTCAATTGTATTTCTTTTCCAAGCAGTTGAAAATACCTTTCTTACTTGAACAGACTTAGACATTTTTTGTGATGTTCCAAGCAGATCATGGGATATCAGTATGATAGATTCATTTTCCTCATAGTTGGGTTGGTGCATAAGTGTAATCCCAAGAGTTAGGAGACAAATGCAAGAAGATTGTAATTTTTAAGCCAGCCAGGGCAGCATAGTGCAATACTGAATCAATTCAATGAACCAATAACAACCCAAAATGACACTGCTCAAGTTCTTAAAGTCTGGACAGACAAGACAAGTCACATGCACATGTTCAAATTACATGCCACACAGTGAACACAAGTGTTACAAGCAAAGGAGAAGTGTGTTCTAGTTTAAGACCAGGATTTTGAACAAGCCTATGAACCCCTTCCTGGTATTACATAATATTTATTTTTATTTCCCCAAATAACACAAGGTTCATCTTTAGGAAATGTTTAGAACAAGATCCAGTGGGAGCAAATGTGTTGTCACGTATCAGTTATGTGGATGTTGTCACATAAAGCTAAAGATTTAATTCATGGGGATTTGGAGAGTTTCCATTCCTTATGAAGAACAAAACCCATTTGAGTTTTCTGGTGCCTTTCTGATGCTCATTCAAATAATGGTACTCTTTACCATCGAATAAAGCTATGAGGTGTGTGGCGTTTATCTACAATCTACCTAACTACATAAATAGCCTTGTGAACATCGTACAAACAAGTTCAAGTATATATGAGCTATGCTTCTGGTGAAACTGTAATGTGAAAAATCACAGGTTTTAGATAACTTAGAGTAGACTGGTGCTGTATTGAAAGGCAAAGTGCATTTCCTTTTTTGAGATAGGTTTTTTGAGACAGTACATGCTGACGATGTACTCATTACATAACCGAGGATGACACTGAGCTTCTGATCCTCCTCCCAGTACCTCTTAAATGCTGTGATTATAGGCAAGCTAGTAACTGAACCCATAATGTCATCCATCCCAGGCAAGCACTCTGCCAAGGAGAATACACCTCCTACAGATTATTTTTAAATAATTGAAAGAACAGGACTTATAAAAAAATAGACTTGCAAATTCATTTGTATATTTATTTAATTAGAGTTACTTTATGTTTTCATGACATCTATTTTTTCTTATATTTTTTTCAAATACATTTGTAGATCATGACATGAAATGAAAACCAGTGATTCAATAGATGTACACATACTGTTTGGATATTTCAGAAGAGTAATCAAAATAGTCAGTTTCTATTGTCCTATTATTTTTCCATTTTATAAGATTATGGTACTGACAGCCATCCCATAAGGTTATCAACCTTCAGTGGTAATTTCCTCCTCTGTACTTTGTAGGTGAGTCAGATAGGCTTCTCCAAAGCACTGTCATCATTGTGAGTTCAACAAATTCTCTTACGTGCTTTTGTTGCTGTTTGTATGATTTACTGATTTGTGGTATATATATCCATATATCCCAGAGTTGTTTCAAATGAGCTGTGTGGTCCAGGCTGGCTTTAAACTTGTGATCTTCTTGCCTCAACCTCCTGAGCACTTGGATTCAGGCCTAGCCACCATAGCTGACTTTTTTATTTTGAGGAGATCACAACAGAGGAGCAGGTTGCCTTTATTACTTTGTTTGGTATTGTACATATTTGTACATATGGATGAACACAATATACTCATCTGCCACAAATGTGAACAAAACTGTTTCTATGAGAAACAAGCCTTCCCAAAGTTTTTTACTAATTGAAGAACTTTGGTTTTCTTGGTCTTTTTGTGTCTGTCACCTTCATAGAATTATTTATTTTCTTCAGTGATCCTTAAACATTGGACTAGAATTTTTATATTGATTTCATAGTTTACATTCCTTATTGTTAGTAAACACATATTAATGTAAACCATGGATTTTTTGGGAAATGTTCCAAAAGACTTTGGCTACTCACCAGCCATATTACTAAGCTTGTTCCAGAGCAAGTTATACATTCCTAAATTGTCTCTGGAATTTGTCTTAAAAGAATAAGCTTAACTTCATAAGTGGTCCCTTACCCGAACTTATTACTATCACCTTTGTCTCATGTATATTTAAATAAATATTTAATTTTTATACTTCTGTCTGTGGCATTTGTGAGGTTCTTAAATGGATGTGAAATATGTATTTTATTATTATTATTATTACTCTTTTCATGTTCATGTGCACATGTGCATGTATAAAAATAGATGCATATAGCACAAGTAGAGAATGGATAATAACTTTTATGAATCAGCTCTCATAAAAAATTATACAGCATGATTTAAAAATTAAAATTGTGAATTTTTAGGAGGAACAAATTTTGTGCACAATATGCTTCTTTTTGGAAAGTCTGGATGCAAATTTTCTATTCATAGGTTTATGTTATAAAAAGATAAAACTAAATACAGAATAAAATAATAAAAAATATTCATTTCACAATAAAAACCATGAACATTTAAATAATGATTATGTTGATGAATGAAACCTTTTTATATTTCTTTTTATTGTTTTATTCATTTTACATACCAATCAAAGATCTCCCTATTCCCTCCTCCTGCCCCACCAGCTTCTCCCTCCCAATCTACACCCCATTCCCTCCTACAAGAAGGTAAGGCCTCCCATGGGGAGGTACATTTAGTAGAGGCAGGTCCAATCCCCTCCCCTGCCTCAAGGCTGTGCAAGGTGTCACATCATAGGTAGTGGGCTCCAAAAAGTCTGCCCATGCACCAGGGATAGAGTCTGATCCTACTGCCCGTGGACCCCTTAAGCAGATCAATCTACACAACTGTTTAGCTATGCAGAAGGCCTAGTCCAGTCCTGTGCAGGTCCATAGATCTTGATCTAAATTTCATGAGTTCCCACTAGTTTGGTTTGATAGTCTCTGTAGGTTTCCCCATCATGATTTTGATGCCCTTGCTCATAGAATCCTTCTTCTCTCTCTTCGATTGGACTCCTGGAGCATCGCTTGATGTTTGGCTGTGGATCTCTGTATCTGCTTCCATCTGTTACTGGAGAAAGGTTGAATGATGACAGGGTATTCACTGATCTGATTACTGGGGAAAGCCAGTTCAGGCACACTCTCCACTATTGCTAGTAGTCTAACCTGGGGTCATCCTTGGGGATTCCTGGAAACTTCCCTAGGAACTTCCCTAGCACCTGGTTTCTCCCTATCCCCGTGATGCCTCCCTCTATTATGGTATCTCTTTCATTGCTATCCCACTCCATCCCTGTTCCATATTGACCATCCCATTCTCTTATGTTCTCATCCCCCATTTCCAACCCTCCATTGCCCACCCCTCATCCACAGTTTACTCATGGGGATCTCATCTATTTCCCCTTCCCATGGCAATTCATGTGTCCCTCTTCCGGTCTTTGTTGTTAGTTAGCTTCTCTGGAGCTATGGGTTGTAGTCTGATGATCCTTTGTTTTATACCTAGTATCCACTTATGAGTGAGTACATACCATATTTATCCTTTTGAGTCTGGATGATTTTTTCTAGTTCAATCCATTTGCCTACAAACCTCATGATGTCATTGTTTTTCACTGCTGAATAGTATTCCATTGTGTATATATACCATATTTTCTTAATCCATCTACGGTTGAAGGGCATCTAGGTTGTTTCCAGGTTCTTGCTATTATGAATAATGCTGCTATGAACATAGTTGAGCATGTGTCCTTGTGGTATGATCAAGCATTTCTTGGGTATATGACCAAGAGTGGTATAGCTGGGTCTTGAGGAAGAATGATTCCCAGTTTTCTGAGAAATTGCCATACTGATTTCCAAAGTGGCTATATAAGTTTGCACTCCCACCAACAGTGGAGGAGTGTTTCCTACAGAATGGGAAAAGATCTTCACCAACCCCACATCTGACAGAGGGCTGTTCTCTAAAATATATAAAGAATTCAAGAAACTAGACATCAAAATAACAAACAATCCAATTAAAAATATGGGCTACAGAGCTAAACAGAGAATTCTCAACAGAAGAATCTCAAATGGCTGCAAGACATTTAAGGAATTGCTCAACATCCTTAGTCATCAGGGAAATGCAAATCAAAACGACTTTGAGATACCATCTTACACTTGTCAGAATGGCTAAGATCAAAATCATTGAAGACAGCTTATGTTGGAGAGGATATGGAGCCAGGGGAATGAAACCTCTTAATGAATAGGTCAATGTCTTTTTGTTGTTTTGCAGAGATCTGAAGCGTCTCTAGTCCAGTTTCATGTAACAAAATTTATTCAGTTTTGTTTTGTAATTTTTTTCTAAAATTCCCAATTTTTAGATGAAGATTATTTCTCTGGTTATAAAGCATGCTTTTCTCATGTTGTAACCAACAAAAGTACACAGTGGTTAAAGAGAACGGGGATTTCAACATTTGTGATCTCATAACACCTCACCCAGCATATTTAGTCCTGGTAGCCTAACTGGGGAATGAGGAAATGAAAAAGAAGAGATAGACATGCACACATGCAGAAAAGCTGAGGTTGTGTTGGCTGTGCCCAATCTGTTGGAATAGTATCAAACATGTGGTGACCAGAAACCTCAGCACTTATGTGCAATCCAAAGGAGGGGTTAGCTAGTCTTAGTAAGAGGTCTCTGCACTGGAGCAGTCATAGATGGCAGTCATTTGGGAGGAGGAAGCTGCTGTGGTTAACTTCTGCAAACTCTGGCAACATCTGCATACAAACCAGAGAAAGGCATTGCCAATTTCCTATGGGTCTGAGGCTTTGGTGCTTGTTAGTAATACCCATTCACTCAGGACTTCATCTCCTCCTTGCATAGTCACTCAAAGATTCCTCTCCTCCCTACACCACATTGTTAGACTTTGACATAACAACTAAGAACCTGTCTTTTGTGTCTGAAAGAGTCACACTGATAGCAAATGACAGCTAAAGGCAGACACTGGTCTGCCTTCTGTGTGGTGACTTTTCCCTTTATTTATTTTTTCCAATAGGAAAGGATCAGTATTGAATGATTCATGATTGCTCTTCCAGAATCAGCTTTCACATTTACTTCTGAAGAAATTTAATTTAAGTCTAGCTTGTAGATGGGGTCATAGAGCAGCATACACCGATGGAAATTTCTTAG